TTCAACAAATCTACTCTGAGAAGTAATTCAGTTACAGAAATCCTGGGCTTTTAATCCCGAAGTTAAAAACTCCCCCAAGCTTTCACCACGACTTTCCCTCTTGCTGCCGTTTCAGCAGCTGCTCCTTAAAAGCTCAACTCTGTCCAGTCTTGAAGGAAAGCCTGGGAAGTAGCACCAGTAAATCCTCAGCCGGTGCCCTTTGTGACACCAGATCACCCCAACCCTCCTCCAGACTCCTTCCAAAGACAGCAGGAAATTCAATTTTGTTAAGGCTTCACATCAAGTTTCCAATTCATGTTTGTCTTGTCAAGATAAAATACTTGGTAAACAGTGAAAGAGTGACTGTGGGCTCCAGGGTTGGGCATGTCCTTTCAGCACTTGCCAGGTTGCCGCTGACACTTGGTCCTTGTTGAGAGAGGGGAGAAAAGCCACCACTATTCAAGCGTATGATACTGCCCGCATTAAACCTTTAACAGTTAATGGGAAAATGCCACCGTGGGAGATCAATGCACCTGGGGTTTAGGTATTAGATGATCAAATTAAGATCAGTTTGGGGAAACCAGGGAGTTGCTAATCAATGGGGTTAAAACCTCAGTAATGCAGACGAGTAAGTTCTAGGGATCTGCTGCACACAACTGTGCTTGCAGTTAACACAGTTGTGTTGCGTACTTGAAAATCTGTTTAGAGGGTAGCTCTCCTGTCACGTGTTCTTACTTACAATTAAATAAAAATTAAAATTCAGTTGCAGTAGTCAATCACTACCCTATTTATTTAAAATAAAAATGACTTCCTGACACAGTAGTCCTCAACTTCTTATTCCCATGCCAGTGTTTCCGAGAGAGAAAACACTCAGGTCTGCCACAGTGACTCACGTCTCTGTGAGTAGGAGGGAAAGTGGGGGTCAGGGGGGTGGACGGTGGACTCTGTCAAAATGAGGCAAAGGACCAGGAAATGGGCAGGCAGGAGGGGGCAGCAGGAGTAGTTAGAAAAAGTTCTCCCTTTCGCAGGCAGCAGGCTCCTCTAACCCCTCCCTAAAGAACCAGTGCTCCAGGAGATTATCATGTTGAGTGAAATAAGTCAGAGAAAGACAAGTATCATAGGATACCACTTACATGTGGAATCTAAAAAAAAAAAAAAGATGATACAAATTCTTTTTACAAACCAAAAACACGGACACAGAAAACAAACTTACGGTTACTGTCAGCCGAGGGAGGCTGAAGAGATTGGAGGAGGTGAGCTGCCCAACTGGAAGAAGGCGACATAATGCGCTAGGAGACGACATGGAGCAAAACAGCACTTTATTGCAGTACAAGCAGGTGGCGGGTGCCTCAGGTGTACGCCTTGTCCTTTGATAATGCTGATGGCGTGTGCGTAGTGTTCACAATGCTGACTCATGCTACTAGCGCATGCGTACATTTACTTTTTAACATGTGCAAGTTATTATGAACTTCGGCCTGGGTCCCACAGCCTACTCACTTAAGGCTGCAGACAGTTACCAAAGGGGAAAGGGCCAGGAGGGATAAATTAGGGGTTGGGGAGTAGCAGACACACATTACTACATATAAAATAGATGAACAACAAGGACCTACTGTATAACACAGGGAACTATATTCAATTTCTTGTAGTCACACACAATGAAAAAGAATCTGAAATGAAAAAATACATATGTATGTACATGTATAACTGACTCACTTTGCTGTACACCTGAAACTAACACCATAAATCAAATATACTTCAATAAAATTTTTAAAAATTAAACATAAAATAAAAGAGAACCATCACTCCAGACTTTAAAGCTCATGGCGAGAAAGGTCAGGACATGGTACACCTGGGACCAGTAAGACACGAACCTTTGGAGAATGAGGGCATCCCAGCTGCAGAAGCTATCGAAAGCTCCTCCAAGTGACTGAGGTGCAGGGCCAGGCTGGCAAGCTGCTGCCCTTCCTGCAGGCTCAGTCATGCTGGTAATTGTCAGTCATCAGAGCTTCATTTTTCAAGGTGAATCCTTAATTTAACCTTTGCCATCTGACAAATGTAAAGCCCATAGCAGTTTCCCTGCTCATTTCTTTGGTTGCATTAGTGACTTAAAAAAAAATACACTAGATTCAAAACCTCACAATACTAATCTTCAAAGTCAATGTAGTTAGTCTCTGTGGGGAGGGTATACAGCTCAACTGGCAGAGCACGTGCTTAGCATGCACGAGGTCCTGGGCTCAATCCCCAGTACCTCCTCTAAAAAATGAATAAACCTAATTACAGCCCCTTCCAAAACAAAAACAAAAACCCAAAGAAACTTTTTTTTAAAGTCTATAATATAGTCTCAAAAAGTGTTAATGGCAGAAAAGTCACCAAAAAATAACAAGTAGGTTCTTGGTAAGGAGAGAAGATCTGCTGGTGTCTTTCACTTTGCTTTTGTCCCTGGAGTTCACTATTTGGCACCATACACAGCGCTGCCACAAGCCTCTCTGTCCCCCCACCCCCCTTCTCTCTCATTTCACAATTCAATTTAGCCCTAACTGAGAGGCCACCAGAAAGTCCACAAAAGCAGCTTATGTCCAAACTAATATATTAACCCTAAGAACCACTCTTAAATGAGTTTTTGTTTGATCCTTGAACTGGGGTCTGTGGTGCTGAAAGGATTTTCTAGAAAATAAGCTAGGAGGTCAGGGTGCACCTCCAAGAACAAAGAACCATAAACTAAAAGGCACCAACCTAGTCAAACTTTTCTGAAAGGAGGCTGAGGCCAGTTGCTGAGAAGCTGCAAATACCAAACTGCCTTTTAAAAAAAAAAACAAAAAAACTTTATTTTGGCACTTTTTTTTTTTTCACAAACCAAACCAGGAAAATAACCAAAAATGGCTCATGCAGAAGAATAACCTAGAGAAAATATCAGTTCTCTTATCTGGAGGATGTGCTCTTTATTCACTTTGAAATGCAAAGTTTAAATGTGCTGTTGGCTCCTGTTTGCTTAAACTCTTCCCAGTAGAGCCTTTGGTTTAACACTCAGAATACAGTCTTGCAGAAAAGAGATCAAGATTTCAATTGACTTAATTATAGCCTGTTCTCTGTCCTGTTTACTCATTCATTCACCCAATAAAATTTACTGAACATCTACTACATGCCAGAAAAGACATGAAGACTTGACCTAAGGAGGTGGCAGCAACTCTACAGAGAAACAGAAGGGCTAGTGGGATATTTAGGAGGTAGAACTTGATAGGCCTTTATGGTGGGTAGGATGTGGGATGAACGGCAGGGAGCAGTCAGGAATGATTCTACTTCTAGGTTTATATCTGAGGCAACAAGTGGATGGTGGCAGAGACATGGTGGGTGGCGGTGGGACCAGAAGTGGGGTGGGGGGGAGGACGGCGATTTTTCTGACCTTTTCCTGTTCAAGAATGTGTAGGGCGAGTTTCAGGAGTCATGGATTCCTAGGAAATAGGGAACAATTTTGAACAAATGTGCACTTTCTGGGGAGACAGTCCTCAGTGTTTGATGTTCATTTAAAATAAAGCTAATGACCCCAGAAAAGGTTAGGGATCACTGATCCACAGCATATAGAACTTGGAAATTCTTAAACATTACATTCACGTCAAACAGATGGTTCTGCCAAGTTGTTCACACAAACGGCCTTTCAGAAGGCCGTCTCAGGAGCGCCCCATGCTCACGGCCTGGCACAAGGACAAAGCACATCAGCGAGTGTTCATTTCTTTCAACTTAGCCGAGACTTGATACAAATTCCATAGAACCCTAGAACTGATAATCACAAACTGATTTCCACAATATGTCGCATGACTTTGTAAATCTGAAGAGATTCTAAGCAAAGCCAGTAGAGAATGCAGGTTTGCATGATGCTTGCCAGAACTGATCTGGCTTTTATTGTAAACGTGCCCTTTTCCTCTTAACTCAAGTTTTGAGAAAAATTTGCTGAGCCTTATGAATCTGGGTAAAGTCAACTGTTGGACCAATTCCATGTAGAAACTGAATAAAAGCCAAAAAGTTTTGGTGGAGTTGTTTCTGAATCAAAATTGTTAGCAAAGCTAAACCTGCATCAGCTGCAGAAAAGGTTGTTGCAAAAAAACAGTCTACTTGATTATAAACAGATGTTCTAAAATGGGAGCTGTAAGAAGGATGTTATCAATTATAGCCAAATGTTCCACCCCTCTCCTCTCAATCTGTTTAACTGTCCTACTCCAGATCGGCACAGGAATGTTGTTACTTTTAAAATTCAGAAAAGAGAGGATAAGCTTTTGGCTCTGGCCCATATCATGTACGTTTGCTTAAGTTTCACCCTTCTAAGCAGAAGGGAAAGACAGGTGTCCGCTAGGAGGAAGGTATCATGAGGAGGAAGTATGCAGTACCCTGTGGAGATGTATTTTGCCTAATAGTATTTTAAATGGTACATATCCAGTCTTATTTCATTGACAAGTACTGTGATCTGTATGTATTAGAAGAGATTTTTTTTCATCAGAACATACAAGTAACAACACTGCGGTAATGGGATGCTTTTGTCAAGCAGTCATTTGTTCCAGGGAGAAATGAACTGAGCTCAGTGTTTGGTTTCTACTCTGGTGCTGTGAAATGACAGATTAAGGAAGAGTCTGTACCAAACATCACCTAAATGGAGTTAAAGAAGCACCTGGAAATAATCTGCTCTAGGTAGAGGAACTACTGCAGCAAAAGCTCTTAATGTAGAACCAAGAAATCAAGGAAGCGACTGGAAGACTGGATTCCAGTCACAGCAAGATGGGACCAGGTCTGGTGTTCAGTGTGTGCAACGGTCTCAGAAGAGAACTTAAGAAACCGGAAGATGGTTTAGAAGGGTTTGGATACGTTGCTATGAACAACAGAAAGAAAACAAGTCTGAAATGTGACCACCAGGTACTTAATAAGAGGCTCCAGTGTGAGTGAATTTCCTTCCACTTCTTGGAATAAAAGCACCCATCTACAATATAGCAAAGGGTTTACAAAGGCCAAAATACTTTAAGAATAAAGAAGTCGTGCCAAAAACGAAGACAAATATTTCAGTCAAGAAGATCAAATCTTTGTTTTCACAACTACACAAGGAAATTTTGTATTTTACTCAATTAAGTTTTTGGATCACATATTTAAGTGAAATTTTGATTCCAGCAGAATCATCACAACAAAAACTACAAAAAAGCCACATAAGACATTTTTGACAATACAAATTCCAACTTCATAAATACTTAAATCAAACAAAATGCTGTTACAAACTCCAAAGATTAGGCTAATCATAATTCTTTGATTCCAGTAACTTCCCATCAGGTCCACAACAAAACTTTACAGGGCAGAGTCACAGTTTGGTGTCCTCATCAAAGTATTTATCTAAATTGCACCAAGAAGTAATAATCAAGTAAAAATTGTTTCCTATAACCATTTCTCCATAAATTAAAATACCTTAAAATTTTTTAACAGAAAAAAAACAGTTTATACCAAACAGAAAGATAAAAACATTTCCCAAAATCTTATAACCAAGACAATTTAGCTGTGAATAAATTCTCCACTCAAACACTCAATTTCATGTGAAAAGTGGCAATGGAATGGTGATTCTAGTATTAGGGAAGTCCTCAACTGAGAAGTTGAAACAATTTCTGTCTGCGTGGTCAAGAATAGCAGAGTTTGAAGCATTCTGGTTCCAAAAGACTAATGACACCAAAAACTTACTAGGCTGACTGGTGATTGACTAAATGAGACAAATGACACCTAACTGTTAGGAAGGGCTGTGACCAAAGCATGTGGATAAATTTAGTTGATACACACCTTGGCTGGCATCTTGGGAAAACGCCAAGCTCTGAAGGAGGTATAGGAAATGAAATCTTTTAAACATCTTAGAGATGGCTCCTGCAAAATTATGAATAATGCAGTACTATATATGCAAATAAGATGAATTTAATTCTGAAAAGGTATCAAAGGTTTGTTAGAAAGGCCCTGCTGTCTAGTACAAATGTTAACAGGAAGCTTCAGAAAGACTGCTCTAAGATTTCAGTTTCTTGTCCCTCACAAGGCTCCCCTTTTAGATTCTTCAGCTGTACAACCAGCCCACTGCTATTGAAGCATTCCACATTCAAGAATACGAGATCTGTGTAAATTAACTCCTCTCCCCACCAGCACTAGGGGTTGCCCAGACAACAGAACCATCATGCTTTTAGACTTATCTACCAAACTGTGTCTTCTGGCTTCAAGTCATTTCAACAACACAAGGTGGAGCTGCAATATCTTCCTGTGGAAAGGGCACCGAGCTAGGAGTCCACAGATGGAGGAATTTAAGCTGTGTGACCACAGGCAAAGCAGTCTGTCCGGGCTCCAAACTTCCTCATCTAAGGTCCTTTCTACATCGAAATTCTACAATCTAAGTCTTTAGGTTAGACACAGCCTGACTGCAGACAGAAGTCTCCAGCTGTCCCCATGCCTTGAAATGGGCAACTGGCATCTCAAATGTGCGAGGGCTGGAGGGAAAAGGCATGGCCCACTCTTTTGATATCCCGCGCTGTAGTTTTAGATGGGAGAGGGGTGTTGGCTACAAGCCACTGGAGTTAAAACCAGAGAGGCTAATGGTAAAGCCACTCCCTCTTCCATCCCTAAGGAGTTTACAACCATGTGCTCTCACCCCCATCCCCTCACACACACCTCAAGCTCCCACTTTCCAGTCAACATTTCTTGAGGAAACTCCACTACTTCTAACAGATCCTTCACACCAAAAATGGGGTGAGGGGGTGCTGTTCTAAGCATAGCAAATATCAACCCATCCTTTGACAATAAATACAATTAACCCTAAACCACAGAGCATCTCCCTGTATTCTGAACATTTCTTATTGCATTCCTGCCTATACACAAAAACTTATTTACTCATTTTCAAATCATCTATTAAATTTGCTTGATGCTTTGAGCTACTTCAGTTAACTACCAAACGAAACCCACCTTTTGGGAGAAGGTAGGGAAACAGATGGCAGATTGGCTGCCCTAGTCAAAGTCAAGCAGTCAAAATGTACACGCCTCTCAAAGTGTCCTTCTTCACTCTACTGATTCAAACAGGATGTTAACTACTCATTACTAAACACGCTTCTCTCAAAGTGGGTCGATACTCATTCATTTGAGATGGTTTCTCTAAATGATTCTCTATCTGGCCATTTGCAAATGGACAGGACTCTGAAAGAGCCTTAGCCAAGTGATTCCATAATCCCCATCCAACGGGATGAGTGTAAAATGAGTCACTGTCAGGTTGCGCAGTATTGGCAAGGCTCCTCCTGTAGTTTTCTGCTATTACGGGGAGGGTTATAGTTTGACCTACTGTGTATTTAAACACTGCTTCTGCCAGACTCACCCTGCCCCAAACTCAGTGACCGTCCATCTAGAGAAGTGAAGCATACTCCTCAGACTTGGCTTCTTCTTTAAAGAAATAATTCGAAGCAGCATCAGCCAAAATGAATTTTCTTCTTTAGAAACAATCTGTGGATAATCACCTAAACTTATATGAAAAACAGCTTTTCCAGTTCATACCACAACTGAGTATCATACATGACATTTAACTGTCATGTGACATTTAACTATCCATTGACCTTCCACACAACTCTTCAACTGTCTTCTCCAATAAAGACGTCTGATATGAAATCACAACTCACATGGGAAACTAATTCCTTCTGGGTCGACTATCAGTGATGTTTCCAGTTTACATTTTTTTGGGTCAATTAGTATATCATCATTCTTACAGATATACTGGAATTAAAGGTGAATCTGGATTTTTAAATTTTATTGCATTAACCATGTTTTCTCTGAGGTTTTTAAACCAAAACACCCAGTAGTTAGAGGCTTTGGGTTTAACTTTGTTTCACGATTACCCCATTCTAAGATCGTACTTTCAACCAGTAACTGTCTATATTTAAATGCACACTGATGCTTACTTTCATCCCACTCCCTTCCTCAGTGGGCATTTTGCTGATTAAGTAATTGAGAAGGAAAGAGGAGACGTTCCTTATCGTAGAAAGAGAGAAAGGAACTCGGAACCAGCTCTGCCATGTAATGTCAAAACAGGAGGTCTCAGAACAGGGGCTACAAGGGAGAGAACCCAGTCACGTGCAGCGTGCCAGCAACTCATGCCTCTTTCTCTGATTCTGCCACTAAAAAATGCTTCAGTATTGGATTTTTTTTTTAATTTGGGGATAATTCTAGCATTTTACCACAGAGAAATCTGTATCACCCACATGCCTTAATTTCCCTTCAGTCTTTTCTTTCCTTTTGATGGTTTATACTCTGAGCTGAAACAGAATGTCATACAGTAAACTGGATTTCAGAGAACATCGTGTTACATACATGCTTAACCAATGACACTGCCTAACTACTGCCTCATCAGGCGCCTGGGGACTCTGCTGGCTACAGAGAGGGCTTGGCTAAGTCTCAGCAACTGGCCCCTGTAATTCCGCTGTTAGTCTTCAACAAACTCCCTACACTGAAGTACAGCTTAATGGAAAAGTGTTCATATGACAAAGCTTCAGGGTGTGGATTTTCTTACTGATCTGAGTATTTCAAAGAAATAACTGATGATACAGACTGGAGCCCTGGATTCTAAGGTTTAGAAATTTTCAAATATGAAAAAGCAGCCTTAAAATTCAGACATCCTTTTTCTGGAGATGGGGACGTGAGAATTTTTGTCTTACTAAATATGGATCACAAAACATTAGTTTTCCAGTTTACATTTATCAGTCACAATATCCACAGGAAAAACGTTTATAGCAACACAAAAACTAAAAACCCCTTTAAACTACTATATTAAACAAAGGTGAACAAAAAGATACAGAACAAGAAACGTCATCAATAAAAATGGAAATTAACATTAAACAGCAATACTTACACCCCAAAATGGGCTGTGAGCACGCTAAAGCTAGCAGAGTCCCACAGAAAGACCAAGGCGTCAGCTATCAAAATACTGTTTTGTCTCAATACCTCCTTCTTATTTAGGCCTGGGAAGTCACCACGCCCCAAGCATCTGGTTTATGCTTCCCTCTGTCCCTCATGCTTCCGACCTTTTCACACTGGGGTACCAGTGTAGGAGGCTCTGGGATGTGGCTAACCGCGCGGCAGCTCCTAAGGCAGCGGTGGCTGTACTTCGAGGAATGTAGAGCTTCTGAGAAATCTGGTGTCCGGGAGACAAAATCAAAGACAGCTGGTCCATGGCTCCTTGACTCTTACCTTTGAACACTGTAATAGCATGGCTACTAGAAAAATCTTCATTCTTTAGGCGCTCTGGAGAGCTTTCCACTGAAAAATAAAGAAAAGAAGTCTTTTCAAGAGGGTCTCACATCACTGCCTTCTCTCTCCCATTCTAGGCCTTTACTAACATGAGTTACAGTCGTCTTCTGTTAGGTGGTGACAATTACCAAAGGCAAATCAGAGAGTATGAGACCCAGAAACTAGTCAACAAGTGGAAAGGAAATGAGAATGGGGGAATCGCGTACTGAGATAAATTCTGGTCAGGACGAGGGCAAAGAAGAGAGGGAAACCGTGTACTTATGCACAAGGTAGGGAAGATCTCTTTCTAGGACATCATAAAAATAAACCAATGTAATTCCAGTTCCAGGGAAGAATCCTTAAGCTCCCCTATCTCCTTCCAGCAGCAAGCAAAATGGTGTCCTACAGGCGCTCTGTATTGCCAAAGTGGTTCCAACTCCAAGCCTGCCAGTGCAAAAACAGAACTGACCAAGACTGTGTTTGCTAAGAAATTTCAAAACCTAGGTATCAGCCATTAGATGAATTCCTCAGGAATTAGTTTTAACTAAGAAGAAAGAATCTATTAAATAAACTCCTGCGAGCAGCAATACCGAGAGCTCCTAACAGCCAAGAAGGGGGATGCCAGCCGTTTCCCACGTGTGCGCTAGACCAGGGCTGCTCGAGGAGCTGGTCTATGAATTGTTTGTTACCTGCCTACAGTGAGAGAAGGCGCTTTTGCCGGCACCTAAACCAACACACAGCTTCCTTCAAGAAAGTCCTGCTCCATCACTATGAACTCATCTACAAAACAGAAACAGACTCGCAGACTTAGTAAACAGTCTTACGGTTACCATGGGAAAGGGGGTGGGAGGGGATAAATTTGGAAGTCTGAGATTTACAAATGTTAGTCACTATATATAAAAATGAATTAAAAAAACCCAAACAAGTTTCTTTTGTATAGCACAGGGAACTATGTTCAATATTTTGAAATAACCTTTAATGAAAAAAAATGAAAATGAATATATGTATGTATATGCATGACTGGGATATAGTGCTGTACACCAGAGAAAGACACACTGTAACTGACTGTACTTCAATAAAAAATAAATGAAGATTAATTTGGGGGGAGGGGAGAGAAAGTCCTGCTTTAGGAAAAAAAAATCTAGGTGAGCTAAACGATGTGCTACTGTGCTTTTACCATCACCAACAACACCTCATAGACTGGCACCAGTGTGCTGACTACATTTTGAAAAGCACTGCTCTAGACCAAAAAAGACAGATTTCAAATGATTCAGACAAAGGGCAGGCATAATCCAGTGTTTTACTAATCTTTACGGCTTTAGCATCTAGCCTTGTAGCGTGTGGTATACGTGCCATGCATTCGTGATGCATTTGTTTAAGGTGGCTTTACAGGGTATTCTAAAAAGTAAAACTCTGACCACGAGACTACAGTTAATGCCCACTAGAACGGAAGAGAGATGGTGAGTTCTAATGAAATAATGGGGTTTTACAGGAAGTCTTTGGTGAGCTCAGATTTTAAAAGGTATAAATATATGAAAGCAGGGACACGTGATGAAAGAATTTAAAAGAGCAGCAACACTTCTGCTTCCAGACATGACGTTAAGTCAACAGGGATTGAAAAACAATCTCCCTGGCTTTAAACAACTGGAAGGCCGGACAAAATACATGAAACAGCAGCTTTCAGACACTGAACAACAAGCTCTCAGGACACTGACCCCTGAGAGATGGGAAACAAACCAAGTGAGCCGTTCAGGTGCCTGAGCTCACTGTCAAGATCAAGCCCAGGCTGCAGGACACAGAGGGAGAATCCCACACTGGGCCTGGAGGTCTCACTGGGCTGAGAAGGCAGAGTCTGGGACTCTTGGAGGCCAACGTGTCTGGAATTCATAGGGGAAAAGCACAAGTGAGGCAGCAGCAGAGAGAGGAGCTGGAGACCTGCACAGAAGCCCCTCCGGTCGGAGGCTGAGTAGCGATCTGGCTCACGTGGATGAGGAAACCACCAAGGCCAGAAGGAAAACCTACCTGAAAGAAGTAGGCAGAACAATCACTGTGTTCACACTGGGGCGAAACGGTTTGTGTTCCCACCAGCAAGGGTACAAAGACATCCCAACACATAGGACACCAAGTCCCACCAATATCCTCAGAAAGGTGCTGCCTAGCAGGGCCAGCAGACCAAAGGCTCTTCTAAATCAGCCTAACAAAACCCAAGACAAATACAGAAACAATCAAACCAATTCCAAGTAATGTAATTACATTCCCCACTCGCCTCAATAAATACCTAAATAGGCAGACAGCAGGGAGGAAGGGAGACGAGGGAAGGAAGCGAGGGGAAAAAGAGGCCCCGGCAACAAGATCTAATTCAGTGTCTGCCGTCCAAAAACAACTACCAGACATGCAAAGAAGCAAAATACATGACTCGTAATCAGGAGAAAAACCAATCAGTAGAAGCCAGTTCATGAATGACAGATGACAGAATGCAGAGATGATACATATGCTCGAGTCACAAGAGTATTAAAACAGCTGTCAGAACATGCCAAGTATCCAGGAAGTGAATGATGAATATGCTGAGGAGACAAACGGAAGATACAAAAAAGCACCAAGCCAAACCCTAGAGACGAAAGATAGAACTTCTGAGATGAAAAATACACTAGATGGGAAAAAAATGTTAAACACTGAGCAAGAAAAGGTTATATTGTGCTTACAGATCAGAAGACTCAATATTGCTAAGATGTCACTTCTCCCCAAATTGAGCTAGAGTTTTTAAAATCCCAATAAAAATTAAAGCAGGCTTCATGTAGAAATTAAGTTAATCCTAAAATTCATGTGGAAAATGACCTAGAATAGCTAAAAATTTTTGAAAAAGAACATATTTATGATTTCAAGACTTACTATGAAGCCACAGTAATCAAGGCAGTGGTATACAGCCAGACATAAGACTAACAGAAGAAAAGGTCCAGAAGTAGACCTTCACATGTACAACCTATTGACTTTTGATAAAGACATCAAGGCAGTTTAATGGAGAAAGGACAGCCTTTCAATAAATTGTGCTAGAACAACTGAATATTTATATGTAATCAAACATTGGTCCTTACATCACACCACATACAAAAGTTAACAAACTGGATCACAGACCTAAATGTAAGACCTAAAACTATATAACTTTTATAAGTAAATATAAGAGAAAAATGTTAGTTACTTGAGTTAGGAAAGATTTCTAAATAGGACACAAAAAACTCATAAAGAAAAAAAAATCAACAAATCTGACTTCATCAAAATGAAAACTTGCTCTTCCAAGGATGCTGTTAAGGAAATGAAAAGGCAAGCCACATACCTGAAAATATTTGCAACATATGTATCTGACAGAGATTTTGTAACCAGGATAAAACATTTTTATAAACCAAGAAAAAGAAGATAATCCGATAAAAATGAGCAAATACTTGAACAGGAAATTCACTAAAGAAGATATACTGATGGCATGGCACATGAAACGATGGTCAACATCACTGGCAAATAGGGAAGTGTACATTAAAACCACAATAAGATACCACTACACATCCACTAGAATGGTAAAATTTAAAAAGATTTGTGATGTAATACATTGGCAAAGAGAGGAAGCAATCAAAGCTTACGTACACTGCTGGTGTGAATTCCAAATGAAACAGCCACTTTGGAAAACATCTTGCCAGTTCTTAAAAAGTTAAATGACCTAGCAATTCCACTCCTACGTACTTACTGACTTAGAAATAAAAAATAAATGTCTACACAAAAAGCTGTATGTGAATGAATGTTCATAATGGCCCAAATCTAGAAACAACTCAGATGACCATCATCTGGTGAACAGATAAACAAATTGTGGTATGTCCATACAACCTGGTATTACCTAGCAATCAACAGGAACTAACTTTAGACAGTGGCAACAACATAAATGAATCTCTAAAATATGACACTAAATTTAAAAAGTCAGACATAAAAGGTGCATGCTGACTCCCTGCATATGAAATTCTAGAAAAGGGAAAGTGACATGGCAGAAGACAGTAAGCTGGGAGAGGGAATGACTGCAAAGGGACATGAGGAAACCTTTCAGGACTGATGGAAATGGTCTATATCGTGATTATGGTGCTGATTACAAGGCTGTACCCATTTGCCAGAACCTAAGGAATTGTACACGTAAAAATCAGGAAATTTTACTGTACATAAATGTGAACACCACCCCCCCCCAAATTGTGGAGAAAAAGAAGAGTGGCAAAGTGAAAGAGAATAACCGAGTCCAGAAATAATATGAGGACTTGAGACAAATGCTAACATCAGCAATTTTTCAAGTTACGTTCCACAAAAGATAAACGAAGGTTTTAAGCAACACAGCAAACCACTATATCTGTCAAATGTACGTCAACCTGCCTGAATCAGAGTGCTTCTGTGGGGAGTCGCCCACGGCAGATGCCGAGCGGAGCGCGGCTGGGGACAGCTGGACTTGCTTTGGTCGAGTCTGAAGGCTGCTGGGCTCAAACTGGCCCCCTTCTGCCGACTGCTGCGACTGGAAAAGGGAGACGCAGAACCCCTCCAACTTGGGCAGTGTGGAGGGCTCCGGGGGGCTCTCTAAGTCTGGTTGCTGTGGAACAGGGAAAATGGAGCAGGAGGACGAAAAGTAACTGTTAGTGTAACAAGAATTCAGCCTACTGTGTTTTCTTACTTACATACAAAAGACAACTACTTTTCATATCATTAATTAATAAATAAAACTGCTCACTTTTGAGAACCTAGATACTCCCTGGAAAACAACAAGTCCTTCTCTAACGTAGTGACCACTAATTCAAGGGGCATTTATTGAACACATTATGAGCAAACAAGGGACTGGGCGCTGCCATACACAGCCAAGGAAGAATGGCAGGAAATGAGAGAAATAACATGCACTGAGCACTCACTGTCCTGTGTAACCTTACTGGCATGTGTTTTTTTACTGAGACGTAAGAATATTGTTCCAGGTTGGTGGTTGTTATGTCTTCTTTACGATGGCTTCTTCCACTTAGCATAATGCTTTTCACAAGAGGCTGAGCAAGTTATCCAGTGCCAACTGGTAAGTGACAAGACAGAGATCCGAACGCAGGCTAGTCTACGTCCTCTCTGCTCCACCACACCACCTCCCAGTAAATATGATCCCACACCCTAGGGAGCTCACTGTCCTCGGCAGCATTATTCATAACAGCAGAAAACAACTCAAATGTCCATCAGCCGATGAACAGATAAGCAAAACGCAGTCTAGCCATACAATGGATTGTTCAGCCATAAAAAGAAATAAAGCACTGACACATGCTGCAGCTGAACCTTGAGGACATTACGCTAAGAAGGCCAGACACAGAAGGCCACATGTTGTAGTGATTCCAATTATGTGAAATGTCCCTAGGAATAAGCAAAGTGATAGAGACAGAAAGAGATGAGTGGTTGCCTGGGGGAGGGGTGGGAGATGACGGATGGGGGACTGGGTGGGGGCAACAACTAAGGGATGCGGGGCTTCCTTTTGGGATAATGGAAACATTCTGAAATTATTATGGTGATGGATGCATGATATGCCAGTATGCTAGGGAAATACTAAAGGCTACTGTGCACTTTAAATGGGTGAACGGTAGGGTATGTGAATTACATTTCAGTTACGTGAAGGGGACAGAGGGTGGCGTCTGAGCCCCAGCAAGGGGAAGGGGCTTTCATCCGAGACCTCCAAAGAATCGCGCTTTAGCAGGAAGAGCCACATGTAGGCAGTCAGGGCAAAAGTGAAACAGAACAGTCCTAACACAGCCTAAACCAAGCCTTAGTGTGTGGGCAGGCGGCTGGCTGGCATCTGCCCGTCTCGGCACAACTGAAGCCTCCTTGGAGGAAAATAGCTCGTCCAGAGCCTCTGGAACTTTTTACCCATAACATCCACCATTCTAATAAAATTATCATGAGGTATGTGCTCACCTTTCTTTCCCCAACCAGTGCCAAAGATAGGATCAAATGACAAGATCAAACAGAGGAAAAAAACGGTAACAACATGCCCAAAGGTGATTCAGATACTGACATTATCTGAAAAAGACCTTAAAGTAACTATGATTAACATGTTCAAGAAAGTGGAAGTGACAGACAAAACTGGTGAAAATAAGGAAACGAAAGATCTTTACACTGAAAATTATGAAACACTGATGAAAGAAATGGAAGACACAAATAAGTGGAGAGACATTCCATGTTCATGAATTGGAAGAATACTATGAAAATGTTCCTACTACCCAAAGTGATCTATCATCAGTGTGGTCCCTATCAAAATCTAAATGGCATTTTTTTTTTTACAAAAATAGAAAGAACAATCCTAAAATTCACAGGGAATCACAAAGGATCCCAAACAGCCAAAACAACCTTGAGGAAAAAAAAAAAAAAGCTGGAGGGATCATACTTCCTGATTTCAAAATACAGCACAAAGCAATAGAGATCAAAACATTATGACACTGGTGTAAAGATATACATATAGACCAACGGACAGAATCGAGAGCCAATAAATAAAACCACACATATTTAGCCAAATGATACTTGATAAGGGTGCTAAGAATACACAATGGGGGAAGGATAGTTTCTTCAGCAAATGATGTTGGGAAAACTGGAAATTCACATTCAGAAGAATAAAACTGGACGCTTATCTCACAATATACACAAAAACTGACTCAAAAATGGATTAAAAGCATAAACAAAAGACATGAAACTTATAGACGAAAACACAGGGGGAAAGCTTTATGA